AAACGAGCTTTGATTGAGGTAATATTGATATGTGAACATAGTTTTAGGGTTTACACCGGACAATACTGTCATGACAATAGCAATACATGCACACTTTTCACTAATACAGGCGTACTTTTCCATAGGAAAAATATTGACAACAAATATGTATATCTTCATTGTCATGACAGTATTGTCCGGTGTAAACCCTAGGTTAATGTACATACCTTGGCATAGCGTCGATTCCTAGTGTTGCCAAATTCCTCCAAACATCTTTAAAGATATAACAAATTGTAGCCACGCATACTATATAATTTTTCGAAAGCGCCACATGAATATTTTGTTACATTGACTGCTGAAGGATTTTATTTTATTTTTTTAATTCTCCTTTAGCGAACTCGCGCCGAACTAGCTTTTAAAGGGACGGTACCGGTTCTTCATCTATTCCAATTCAACTTTATTTTTTAATATGACGATGTCCTACGAAGGGCAATTTGCCCCCTCTGCAGAACTTTGGAACTCATTCAGAACTCGTCCGTTTTGGACAGAATCGGGTCCATATGTTTTTACGAGAAAGGTTCTGTTTGTACTTGCATTTTTTGTTTTTATTTATTTTATTTTTATTTAAATTCATAATCTTCAAACTGTTAAGCTATTTTGTATTGTACGAGAAGTGAGAGTTGCACATTTAGTTTTCAGCTTTCACATGCTAAATAAACCGACTACCAAGAATGGTGATCGCTACTTCGTGACCGATTACAACTTTAAAGAAGTTTACCAGCACTATTTGGAGATGTCAGTTGAAAAGCGCCCGCTAAGAAGAAGAAGCGCCGTAAAATCCAACTGGAAATGTCGTGCTGCCAGTATAGAAAAATTGTTGAACATCTTATATCCCGGCAGAAATCGAATCACAATATAACAGAAAATCGTTTGAAACTATAAAATAACATTCGTATCCACAAAAAAAAAAAAATATATATATATATAAGGCCATATTTTTTTATTGATATTGGCAGCATAAAGACAAAAAACTGCACTATAAAATTATACACACGACGATAATCATAACACCAAAAATAGGTGCGTTCCAGCGATTTTCGGACCAAAACCTGCAGAACTGTCAAAAAGCAAAACATCTCTCACAAGAGAACTGAGAAGAACTGCTGGAACGCAAAAAACCATTTTTCCTGCAGGTATATAAATGTCAGATGTTTGTTTACAGAACTATTTATTCAGGGAAAAATTCTTACACACAACATTTTAATTCCCAAAGATTTCGTTATTTTGGTACAATCAGCTTCTATTCTGCTGAAAATATTTCTTATAAATTCCATCAGCTCTTTCGCTTGTTGTTTACGAATGCAACACTGCTTTTCATTTGACAGTTTTCATGTCTTTGCAGGAAGAAAAACTTCGGACTAAGTCCTGGAACTTCATACAGAGAGTAAGCATATTTGACGAGCACGAAATTGCTCTCAGTTATAGGAAATTTGCCTGCTGGAACGCTTTTCGGACTAAATCCTGCAAAACCTAAAAATTATACTGCTACTGGAACGCAACTAATGTGTTAAAACGCGTCATTTCGAGGATCAACACAATTCGCATTGAAATCCGCTACTCCGGTAACATCACCATGTATGAATGCGACTTGCAAATTAGGTTTTAGAACAGTGCATACAAATGTTTCAAGACATTTAATATATATATTTTACTAATCTGGCAGCGCTGTTATCGACATCAAAAGTAATAGCAGCGGTAATGATCGAAAGAAAATAAAGACGAATTTTGCAATTGGATTTTGGACAATATAGTTGTACTCATATATATTTCAAGTATATTAATAATTGGTTTGAAGGGAATAAACCTGTGTTTATGATAGTGTTAGCTGGAATATAAAATTAAACACCACGTTTTTT